GTCGTTGGTCACGACCGACGTCGACGCTGGGCGCAAGTGCGCTTGGCGCTGCACGGTCGTCCGCCGAAACTTGGACAGAATGTCCGTGTGCTCCGAGAGCATGGCCTAGTACGCATGCGAGTGATGGACCGTGCTCGGACATGACGTCTACCTCGCGACGGTTGATGTGCTCGAGGACGGACGCGAGGCGCGCATGCGTCGGCGTGTGTCGAAAGGGCATGAGCGCAAACACAAAGTAGTTGGTCGGCACGGTCTCGTGATGGCCGGCGGCGACAAAGGCTTCGGCCAGCGCCAGCGCGAGGACGTCGTTGGCCGTCCGCTTGTCGGCGTCGTGGCGGTGCACGTGGCGCGAGAACTGGTCGAGCAGCACGATGAGCGCCACGAAGGCGTCGCGCGACGCGCACCATTCGGCGTGCAGCTCGCGTCGCTCGGCGGCGGCGAGGAGCGGGCCAAAGGTGTCCGTGATGCGCTTGTCCGTCTGCGCCTGGATCTCGCTGCCAGCCGGAGGAAACCACTTGGTGCGGTAGATCTCTTGCTGGTCGCCCTCGAACCAGAAGGCGAGCACCGCAGCCGCGTCCGTCGGCAACAACATCACCACCGATTGCCTCCTGCGTCCAGAAACCTGCGCAGCCGTATCCGGATAGCCCATCGTGCTCGCTTAAGTCCGATTTGCATACTGCAAACTCAATAGTTTGGCCATGAAGCTCAAAAGCCAACGTTTACATCGGACGCTGCCACTTCGGTGTTTTCACCCTAGTGCTGTGAGGACCCGCCTCGTCGAAGAGCGGCGGCACGTTCGCAGGGGCGATGGAGAGTGGGTGGTTCAACTCGAATCACGCCATTTGGCTTCCAAGGGCTGCTCCTCGGCTCTGTTTCGACCCATTTTATGCTTTCGACTGCGCGTCCCATAGCTCCTCGGGTGGAGCGTCCTTACCACTGCAGATGCGAGCAGGAGGAAGAATGCGTCGTGTATCGTCCATTCAAGTTGCCGCCTTGGCCGCAGTCGCCGAAACGGTGGGCCCACTGGAGCCATCGATAGCATTGGTACGAGCTCGAACTCGGCTTCCTCCTCGTCCCGTGTGGGCCTTGGCGAGCTCTTTTACTGCTAATGCAAAGGACTAAGCCACGCGCTGGCAACGCGCCAAGAACCCACGATCGCAACCAATACCTCTCCCAATGCATGTGGCGCCATATCGATATATAGAGGTTTTAGAACCAATTCAAATACAAAGGTATCACTAGACAGAGGTTTTTTTGCCAAGGCCAGTGATTGGGTCTATGGCCAGTAACGAATCGAACAC